GAAAATGCCAATATTATAAGCATATCTCTTAACTTCATGGCATTTGTAATTTAGTAGGTATATAAGACATATGAACAGATAACTGTATTGCAAAGTAAGAGGGGAGTGAGGCAGTGTGGTGTAGTACAGTCAGGTCTTGTTCTCAGTGCTTCAGTTAGCTTTCCAAGAGTACACACTGCTGAATAATTGCTGATCTTCATTGGTAAAGGGAATTTCCTCAATAGGATACTATAAAATTATAGAGAACCCCTGCCCCATCTCACCCCTCCCAAAAGAAGAGGTCCAGCACAAAGTGTTAAGGTGAAATCCAGTGTGAAAAGAACATTACTGAGAGTGTCAAGGAAGACTAAAACTCCCACCACTGAGAGGGAAAAGTATACTTATAATCTTGAGATTATCTTTGACTCTTCCCTTTCTTTCACCTTTCCTGCCAATCAGAAATCAAGCTTATGTATCAATGTCTACATTCTACATTTCTTCTTTCCCTTCTGTTCCCAATGCCAGTACTTTTGTGTAATAATAGTAATATTTAGCATTTATATAGAGATTAAATGCTTGAAAATCACTTTACAAATTTATCCCCACAACAACCCTGGGAGATTGGTGCTGCTATAATCCTACTTTAGCAGATGTGGAAACTGAGGCAGACAGAGGTTAAGTGATTTGCCCAAAGTCATAGAGGTTGTAAGTATCAGAATCCAGATTTGAATTCTGATCTTCTTGACTCCAGACCAGCATTCTGTCCATTGTACCAATTAGCTGCCTGTGTAGGCCCTTGCTAAGATCCACTTTTACTATTGTACAAGCCTTCCAAACAAGGTCTTCCAACTTCTCTGTCAATTCTTCTTCATATGACTGCATAGTAATCTTTCTTGCATGTAGACAAATGATGAATTATAGGAGGAGAGAATGGAGATGACAAGGATATTATAGTAATTCAGCTTGGGGATAATGAAAGATGTACTGAGGTGGTAGATGTGGGAGGTTAGAGAAGGGAATTGATGCAAGAGGTGTCATAGATTTTGAATGACAGTAATCTATGTCAACTTAGATGTGAAAAATGAGGGAGAAATTGGAGGTTACCCCATAGATTCAATCTTAAGATCCTGAATGAATGTCAGCTTTTGTGGAGAAGTTATTGATTTTTTGTTTATGTATATATATATATATATATATATATATATATATATATATACATATATATATTCTATATGTATATATCAACTCCTCATTAGAATATGTAAGTTTCCTGATAGATTCACCTTTATGTATTTCCAGTGCTTAGTACACTGTCTAGCACGTAATAGGTGCTTAATTAATGTTTATTTCTTGATTGGTTGACCAATAGATCATTGATAGAAATACTGATGTCAAAAGGAGAAGCGAGCATAAGAGGAAAGATCATAAATTCAGTGTTGGGCATGTTGATTTTGAGGTGCCAACAGGCCATGGAATCATAGATTTAGAACTGGAACAGACCATAGAGATCATTTAGTCTGAAGCTCTTGTTTCATACATGAGGAAACTGAGCCCCAGGAAGGTTAACTCACATGCATAAGCTCACACTCACAGAAAAGAACAGAATCAGAAATTAAACCCAGGTCTTCTGATGCCAAATCTACCACTTCTTATCACTTTATCATATGGTCCTTGAGATCAAATGAGAGTTTGAGGGATAGAAAAAACACATTTGAGTATCAACTTAATAAAGATGATAGTTGAAGTCATTAGCTAGAATGAGATAACCTAAGAGGGAAGATGGCTGAGGACAGAGGATGGAAACTGGAGAACTAGTAGTAGCTAGAGGTGGAGGTGAAGAGGACTAATAGATCCTGGTAGTGCCTGGTTATCCCAAGACCATAAGAAAACTCCAGGATGGCTGTAAATGAGGATTGGGAGTCGTAGCATCCTATAATTTCAGAGTCTGAAGGGACTTCAATGATCATATAGTCCAGCATATACCTGAACAAGAATCTTGGTTACAGCTTACTTGAGAAGTGGTCAATTACCCCTTACTTGAAAACTTCTAATGAAGGGAAACACGCTCCCTCTCAAAGGAACTCATTCCTCTCAAATATAGCTCTAATTGTTAGGAAGTTGGTTTTTTTTTCCCCTTCTATCAAACCTAAATTTGTGTCTCTGTCACTTTTACCCATTATTCTCTGGGGCTAAATTTAAGAAACCTAATTGTTGTTCAGTTGTTTTCAGTCATGTCACTTTCATGTCACTCTTTGTGACCCCATTTGGAGATTTCTTGGCAAAGATACTGGAATGATTTGCCTTTTCTTTCTCTAGCTCATTTTACAGATGAGGAAACTGAGGCAAATAGGGTTAAGTGACTTGCCCAGGGTCACACAGCCAATGGAGAGACAGAGAAAGAGGGTATTAGTGAAAAGGCAAGATCCTAGAAGACCTTCAGGGGACACTTAATAGGGATATTTCTTTTTTACCAGAAGGAAAGAGGAAAGGCTTTTTCCTATCTGCACACAAATAAGTTCAATCCTTCTCTACCACTAAGATATTTTCCCTTGAGCCTTCCACTTCATCCAGTTACTGCCCTGTTTTTCTCCTCTTCTATGCAAAATTTTTGCAAGAAGTTTAAGGTTTGCAACATACTTGAACATCTATCTTGTCATTCAACACTCATAACAACCTCATGGAAAAGGTGCTATTATTTCCATTGTACAGATGAGGAAACTGAGACAGAGAGGTTAGTGACCCTGTGCAGGGTCACACAACTACTGAATGTCTGAATCAGTATTTGAACTTTGGCTTTCTTGAATCCATGTCCAGGAAAGGGTGGGTGAATATGAAGAGAAGTTTTTCAGAAGGGATTTGAAGGACTTCGTGTTGGGTGGCCTCCATCTTTATGAAGACCAGACCATTGATTTTAAGTGTGGTTCTTAGGATGTTGGTGGGAATTAGAGGAGAAAGGAAGAGGTTCAGAGTGGTTGTTGTATGGAATAAGAGAGGATGTCAATAAGATCGGAGTAGAAAAGTTGTTCAACAGCAGCACTGACCCGGCTAGAGTTTTGTTTGACATATTGGTAATGGGCAAGATAAGGTCCATTTCATGACTTTCTTTGGCAATATTCTGTAGGAATGGGAGCAGAAAAATCATGTGGTTGTGATTTCCATACACGAGTGTTAGCAGATGGGGAAAGGCTAAGGCCATAGGATCAAAAGTTTAGAGGACTGGGCCTCAAAGGTCATTGAGTCCAATGCTATTTTTGTACAGATAAGGAAATCAAAACCCAGAAAGGTAAAATGGTTTAGTGAGGGCCATGTAGAGAGTATCTGATGTCGTATTTGAGCCCAGGTATTCTTGATTCTGAGTCCACTACACTACCTTGCCTTTCAAGGTTCACGTGGCAAGATATTTTAGGGGAGTGGCTAGAGAAACATAGGGGTCAGAGCTCGGGTTACAAGGAAGAGAAACTGGAATGTGAGAAATGGACTGGGAAATAGGCTAAGTGTAAGTGATAGAGTAGGAGGAAATGAAGGATATAAGCTTGTCATGGAGAGGAATTTGTAATGGTTAGAATCATGAAGACTGTGCAGTAAGGATGGTGAGGTCTGATGCATGACCATACCAGTATGTGGTTGAAATGAGGAGAAGAAGAAGGTCTTGGCATTGAGGAGGCTGAAAAACTGGGTGATCAGGTTGTAGGTGTTGCAGTTGTTAGTGTATTCCACCTGGAGTTAAGAAGACCTGAGTTCAAATCTAGTCTCAGACTAGCTGTGTGACTCTGGGAAAGCCATTTAACCTCTGTCTGCCTCCATTTTCCTTTCTGTAAATTGGGGGAAAATAATAGCAGTAACTAACTCCCAGGGTTATGGTAAAGATCAAATAAGAATCCAGAATCCACTTGTTAAGCACTTTGCAAACTTTAAGGTGCTGTATAAAGGCTATTCTTCTTATTATTAGCATAGAGATCATAAATACGAATGTTGACAAGCCTTAAGATGATGGCAAAGGGTGCAGTGGAGAGAGTGACCATAAACCAGGCAGTAGAGTTATTGTAAAATGAAGAATATTCTGGAGGTTGGCAGATGATAGCAATAAGGATAGGGAGATGTTCTTAGACCCTTGACCAGTGTGATGTTTGAGTAAATGTTGTTTTACTGGTTAGTTCTCTTAGAGCTCAGATTATGCATGAAGGATTTAGAATACCCTGACTATTATTTCCATTAAATATTTTGGAGCCATAGGTAGTCAATACACATTTATTAAGCACTTACTATGTGGGAGGCACTGTGCTAAGCTCTGGGGTTACAAATACAAATAAAAAACAAAGACAATCTCTACCCTCAGGGAACTTGTAGTCTCATCATGAAGGTACTGGAAATCTTGGGTTTGATTTTCCATTATCATTCTACCTGGATCCAAGCTAAGTACCACTCATTCTACAGCAGGCAGTTTTAGGTCAATTCCCCTTAGGACTAGATGTGTTTCAAATTCTATCTGGGTACCAGCTTTGGTTACATGTACATCTAAAAGATACTAGTGCTACTCACGACCAAAATTTTGGCTCTCTCTATAACACAGAAGACACCCATTTCCTTATTTAATTTCTGGCACATAGGTTATGGTGCTGTCTGATGGTTTGGCTGTGATAAGGTTCTGGAGGGCCAGGCACAAGTTTCCCCTTAATCCAGCTAAAAGCTTCCCTGGCTTGAAATTTGATGAACAAGATCTATCGTCCCCTGATTCCAGGAGGAGATTGGAAGTTATTTGGGATATTGTGCCACCTTTCCATTTACAAATTTGTTGTTGTTGTTCAGTCTCAACCATCCTACTACAACTATATTTGAAAAGCAAACTAAAGTAAAGCTTTGATTGATATTTGTCGACTAATCATCAGCCCTTCATCAGAAACAACAGAGCAGAATATTTCAGTGACTAATTTGGTTCTGCTGTCTTTGCAACAGTCCCAGAATCCCAAGGGTCAGAGTGGCTGATTACATCACTTCTATTCTAAGATTATTTTTGTATGGAGGAGCAGTGTTGCATAAATGCACAAGGAACCTGGAACTTGGAAGAGCTGGAGTCTTACCTCTGACACTTACTGGCTGTGTGATGTAAGCAAAATCATTTACTTTTTTTAGTGATCTAAGTAATTCTCTGTAAGCTACAAAGTGTTAACCTGAATTGGTAGAGGGAGTTTTCTATACTAATAAAATTCCTGGTCAAGTCCCTATTCCTAACCTGAAGTCTTGATCTAGTAACCATTTGCCTGCATTTTGAAACCCTGATTTAGCATCTGTAAAATATAATACAATTATCTGGTGATTCAGCCAGAGCCTTATTAAAATTTCTGCATAAGATAGTCTGAAGACTGATATAAAGACAGAACTAGGTTTTCAGTATACACATGTGAGGGATAGCAAAAAGCTGTATTAAGTCTGCATGCTCAGAAAACTGATGGTATTTCCTACCCCTTACATCCCCCAATTATCTGCATAGTCCTTTAAATCCCTTGTGCCATTAACTTGAGCTAGGGACTGCATCTTCCCTTTATTCTATCTTAAGGTCTATCTCTGTGACTCAGTTGCATCATCTGTAAAATGAAGGAGCTAGATTAAATGACCTATGAGGTCTCTTCAAACTCTAACATCCCAGGATCCAAAATTGTAATCACTTAGTGCTTAACACAGTGGTTAAATATAATCCCGGAGCTCATGGAATGCTACTATAAAAATAGTTTGTTAAATGATTACATGACCTCAGATCAGCCTACCTAAAAGTTTGCCTTTGAGAATGTCCACATTAACATCTGTTCCCTATTATATCAAGACCTTGCTAAAGGCATCCATTATCTATGAATAGTAATAACTCTATTAATGAAGAGGATGCATTCCAGCAGCACAATCTTTTGTCAGAACTGTCATTCCCGAGGTAAATATGATACAGGAACTGTGGGGAGGGGTGTGTGCAAGGATGTCAGATAAAGAGGATTGTAGGACAAGAATAGTATTAAATCCTACCTAAAATAAGGTCAAGTGCCAGAGAGCATACACTATGTTTCTGGGAGCTTCGGGAAAGTGGGGGATAGACAGAGAGGGATGAATGGGAAGGGTTGTATTAAGGTTAGATGAGACTAGGGTCCTTGGTAGTCAGAATTTAGTCTCAGAGAGAGTAGGGGACAGAAGACTGAACGTGAAGAGAGAAGTGATTAGTCTTGATTCTGTCACAACAAAAACCCTGTCATCGTGATTAAGTCACCGAAAATCTCTTGGCCTCAGTATCTGTAAAATATAGGGCTGGAGTAAGTGATCTCTAAGGTCTCTTTGAGGGCAGCTGGGTGGCACAGTGGATAGAGTGCTGTCCCTGGAGTCAGGAGGACCCAAGTTCAAATCCAGCCTCAGATGCTAGCTATGTGACCCTAGGCAAGTCACTTAACCCTTTGACTCAGTTTCCTTATTAGTAAAATGAGCTGAAGAAGGAAATGGCAAACCATTCCAGTATCTTTGCTAAGTAAATCCCAAATCTGATCACAAAGAGTTGGACACATCTGAACCACATTGAGGTCCCTTTGAATTCCTAATATTCTGTGATTCTATGAGTCAATTCATAAAGATGGCTAGCCTGTCCCCTCTGAGACTTCTGTTCCCCAGACTAAATATTTCCAGTTCTTTCAAATGATCCTCATATGGCATGGACTTAGGGCCCTTCACCATTCTCATTGCCCTTCTCTGTATAGTGTCCAGTTTATCAGGGGAAGTGAACAAGCATCTACATAGTGTTTACTATGTGCTTTACAAATACGATCTCATTAGATCCTCATAACAACCCTGTGAGGTAGATACTGTTATTATCTCTACTTTTGTTTAGTCTATCTAGTTGTGTCCAACTCTTCGTGACCCCATTGGGGATTTTCTTGGCAAAGATACTGGAGTAGTTTGCCATTTCCTTCTCCAGCTCATTTTACAAATGGAGAAACTAAGGCAAACAGGGTTAAGTGACGTGCCCAGGGTCATTCAGCTAGTATCTGAGGTGAAATTTGAGCTCAAGAAGATGAGTCTTCATGATTCTAGGCCCAGCACTCTATTCACTTTGCTACCTAGCTGCCCAATCCCTACTTAACCAGGTCAACAGAGGATAAGTGCCTTGCCCAAGGTCATACAGTCAGTAAATGTGTGAATCCAGATTTGAACTCAGGTCTTATTAGCTACAGGCCAAGAGCTCTATGAACTGAACCACCTGTCTGCCTCTATTTTATTAATAAGAAAAATAATAATAGCTAACATTTATATATTGCTTGTCACTGTATTAAGCACTTTACAATTCTTATCTCACCTGATCTTCACAACAACCTTGGGAGGTAGGTGTTCTTATTATCCCAATTTGATGGATTAGGAAATGGAGGTAAACAAAGTGACCTTCACAGCTAGTGTCTGAGGGAGGATTTGAACACAAGCCTTTCAGACCCCAGGCCTAGTTCTCCATCCACTGCACCATCTAGCTGCCCTTTCAAAAGTGGGGTGTTCAAAGAGCCATACTTCAAAAAGTGTCTAAAGACAACACTTTAGAAGATGGGTTATTTCAGCATTTTTTTCTCTTTCTTCTGAGCTCAAAAAGTCAAGAAATAAAGGCAATGCTCTGCTTTTACTGGAAAGGAATTTTCAGTGGCTATACCATCTTACCTTGCTTTAGGATGAAAGAGGGATGGAACCTGGGCCTGTGATTCCATTGGTTTAGGGAACGCTTGAGTTTGCTCTGCCTTAGGAAAGCATCATCCATATACTCTGTCTGGCCAAGAGGCCAGTAGTTTTCTTTTTCTCTTCTCCTTTAAGTCTTACCTACATTTTCTCTCTCCCCCCCCCCGCCCCTTTCCTAGATTTCCACTTAAACATTAGATCCTTTGTGACATTTAGTATATGTACTTCTTCAACTCTCCCCCACCTCTTCTCTTAGATTTTTTTTTTCTTTTGGACAGAAAGCACAGCTGTTCCTTACTCTATTCCAATCATGGAGCCTACCAAGGCCCAAAGGTAACTATAAGAATGTATACATATGTAGTTACTTGTGTTAACATTTTGAGGAAAGATGAACAAGAGAAAAGGAGGTGGAGCAAATGAAAGACTTCATCCAAAAATTTGGATAAGCTTCTATTTTGTGATACTCATATTAATTTTTTCCTGAAAGGAAATTCCCTTCAGAAACAATCCATGAAGGAAGAAGATTATTAACTTGATGAGAAACAGGTGCTGAAAATCTTTTGCGAATGTCCTTTCCTGGATACGTTTTTGACAGAAGGCAGGATCTTCTGCTTATTGAGCTTCGTTAAATAGAGGGCTTTATCTGCAGAAAGGACACACTGGAAAGTGGATATTAAGTTTAAGCATATGGAGGAGATTAAATTACATCCTCTTAGTGCCTAGAACAGTGTCATGCACATTGCAGGTACTTGGAAAGTGAATGAGATTCAGAATATGATCTGTGAATCCTAAATCCATGTTGACCATTTGAAGGAATTTCAAAAGAATGATTAGATCAATGTTATAGTATCACAGAGAATCCGATTTAACTCATTATATTTGGGCTTTAATCTATTATACTTGCTAAAATTATGAAGGAATTGGAGGACTTGGCTTGAATCCTGGCTGTACTATTTATAAGCTGTGTGATCTTGGGCAATTTACCTCTCTGACCTTCAATTTCTTGTTCCTTAAAATGAGAGTGTTGGACAACAACAAAATAATATAATAATTCATATTTAGAGATTATTTTCATCTTTGTAAAATACTTTACATTCAATCTATCACAATATCCCTGGGAATTTAGGCATGTTTATGGCCCCTAATTTTACAATGAAGAAACTGAGGCTCTGTGAATGAGGTGGTTTGACTAAGGCCACACAATTAATAAAAGCATTTGAGGCAGAATTTAAATCCAGGTTTTCCTTCCTCTAAGCTGCCACGCTAACCAATCAATTGACAAGTATTTATTAAATACCACTTACATTCCAGGAACTCTGTCTGGTGCTGGGAATACAAAGACAAAAAAGGAAATGGTCTCTGCTCTCAAGAAACTCACATTGTATCAAGAGATACATAAATACATAATACATAAAATACATAACTACATAATACATAAATAATACATAAATAAAATACATAAATTAAAAAATAATTTTTGGCTGAAGGCACTAATCAGGGAAGGCTTCATTTGGAAGATGATACTTGAGCAGAGCTTTGAAGGGTACTAGGAATTTTCTGATGCATGATGACTAAGATTCCTTCTAGCTTGAGATCTTTATTAATATTAATATTATTGGTATTAATTTCTTGCTTTGGATAATCAATCAATTAGCAAGCACTTGTTAAGCCCCCTACTATGTGCTAGTCAATTTTACTAAGTGTTGTAGATACACCAATGGAGCTAATTAGGAGCTGATATTCTAATGGGGAAGAATATTAATTAATCAGTCAATAACCATTTGTTAAGTACCTACTGTGGGCCAGGTAGTTGTGCTAAGCACTGGGGACAGAAAGTAAAGACAGAAGCAAAATTGTCCCTCCCTTCAAGGAGCTTGCATTCCAAAGAAGGAGACATCATGTATAAATACATAGATGTGCAGAATACATGCAACAGGGGTTCTTAATCTTTTTTTGTGTGTGTCATAAGCCCCCTTGGTAGTTTGGTGAATGGCCCGATAAAGATCTCAGTACAAAATTTTTAAATGCATAAAAACACATTGGATTATAAAGAAACCCTAGTTATATTGAAATATAGATGTCAACACATTTTTTGAAAGTCCAGGCATACCATGTTAAAAAACCCCTGATATACAATATAAATACAGGGTAGTTTTGGAAAGGAAGACGCTAACAGCTGGAGGGGATTAGGAAAGGCTTTCTGGGTTACAGATGGAGTTGTGACCTAGCAGTTAACTACGATTCTATTCCCGGTCCATGAAGATCTAAACTCAGTAAAATCTCAGTCTTCCCACATATACACTGGTATAAACACAGTTTTGTCTGCTTAAAATGTGAGTCATATCTAAAAAGTCTTTAGAAGCCCTCAGATGTAGGGCTTTCGTTAAATTCTAAGTAAATTGAACCATACCAAATAGCTA